GAGAATATTTGCCAAACTCATAGCAAAGGTTTTTTTGGTTTGTTTTTGGTATAGGCGATTAAACTCAGGGGTGCTTAATCATTGAGCCACATCCCCAGTCCCTTTTATTATTATCATTACTTTTTTAATGATTAGTGCTGGTTTATTTCTGAGTAAACACAGGGGTAGGTACAATACTTTAAGACTTTGTATTTTAGTGCTTATATTCTGAGCAACTGTCTCACCTCAAAAAAACTGAGGGTGAGAGGTACACAGTAGTCATGGTTCCATAGGTACCTGTGATCTAATGTCCCAAAGATAGGTTTGTGTCAAACATGTCTTGAAAAGGGACACAGTTTAAATATTGTTCTCTTTATAAAAGCAGTTTATTACCATAGGATTTGAACTCTATGAGATCTCATAGAGAATCCAGAAATCCCTGATCTTTCACCATCTGGGCATTGATATCATCATGGAATTATGCCATGCAAACTGCTGCCATTTTCTGAACATAGGGATTTTCATCCTTCCAGCACTTGTGGGGGGGGGGGTTCACAAATATTCTGTAATCTTGTCCACTGGATGCACCCCATGGTCCTACCTGCCAAGGCCCAAATCTCCTAGGACTGGGATCTCTACAATCCTTCACAAATCAGTTGACAGCCATGATGGCCATGTCTGACTAGCTCTTGGCATAGTTCATCAAGTAGAGATATCCAAGTTTTTTCAGTTCCAAGATGTCAGTTCACTACATCTAGAAAGAGAGAGCTAACATCCTTCCCCGCTGTTACAGCAGCAATCACTTTCTTCACAGCCTTCTTCCTCCTTTCTTTTTTGAGTTCAGCTTTTAATTCAAAGATTTCATCCTTTTTATTAGTTGTAAAAGTATTTGGAGTTAGTTATGATTTTGGATCTTTAGTGTACACGGGAGGCAAGGGCAGGTGTGGTGGTGTCAGCCAGAGACCACAGCTTTGAGTGGTATTGTCACCTTTTATTTTTTTGAGACAGGTCCAGCTAAGTTGCTGAAGCTGTCTCCAAACTTTTGATCCTTCTGCCTCAGCCTCCTGAATGGCTGGAATTACATGTACCATTGTGTGGGGCTGGAGTGATCTTAACTTTCTGCCAAAATACTGATTATGAAAGAACTACCAGAACTTCTCTAGAAATTAATTTCTTAAATTGATCAAAGGAAATGTAAGAAGCAGCTATATTCTAGATATCTCCAAAGAGATACATACAACTGCAATAAAGACAAATATCAAGAGAAATGCTCTGAGAACTTTGCATAAAAAGACATAATACTCTTAGTAATAAAAACACTGTTTAGGTAACTGTTTACAAAGAAGTGAAGTTCAAATGGTCAAGAAGTTCTGGCAAAAGAGTAAGGCATTATGGAGGAGTAATTCTTGATTAACATTATAGCCAGTGGTAGATGGCTACAGATTTGTGGTACATTTGTACCACAGTAATGATACAAATAAATATGCCACTTAAAAGTAAATAAAAATTGGAAATGTAATAGTTACGGAAAACTACAAGGAGAAATTTTATAATTGGCAGTAGTGAGAAATGAAAACAATGAAGTTTATGTGCTTGTTTTGACAAGGATGAGGAATTTAAAATGGTCAATATTAAATGAGGAATTGTCACAGAAGAAAATATTCCAATTTCCTATACTAATATAATAGCTTCTATGTATATGATTTACTAAATACAGCTATAATTTATATGTAAATATTTAAAATTAATAGCTCTTTATCTATGATATAAAATACCTCTTTTGATATTAATTGGGTTTCCTAAAACAACACAAGTAGGAATATTGTATGCTATACATGACATTGTTTTCCCTCTATAAAGCAAATGTCCTTTATGGCAATTTCTGTAAATCAGATCCTGTTAAGAAAAGGGTATCTTTCCTGAGTTACAACAAAACAATGATTGAAAAATATCTTAATTTTTATATAAAATGACTCATTATCTTGAATGGACAATCCATTTCTAGCATAAGTTGCTCTGTCAGAGAAAGAGCAGTCCTAGAAGAAACACTTTTTTTCATAGGACCAACAGTTCTTCAAGCAGAATTGTGCAGATAAGGCATGGTGTCATATTATACCGTCTTGGACAGGTGGCCTTTTTTAACACAAACTGATTCTGAAAAACTCACCTAAGATCATTAGTGTAAAATGGTAAATAATCACAAACAATTTCCTAAGTAAACTGTACTTTATAGAACACTGTACTTGCCTAGACAATTAGAGTACAAGTCTTCTGCTTCTATGTTTATTTCCAGAACTTACCACTCCTCAGTCCATTCTCCATTTAAAACATAAATCAGATCGTCATTAACTTCCAATGACTTCCCACCATAATTACTAAGTTCCTACTTTTTTCCCTCCATTTTCTATTACTCCCTCCTCAATAAAGAACATTATTCTTATTTCTAAGTTTTCAAATATATCAAATCTGTCTTAAGGCCTTTGCATTTATTATTCCCTCTGGCTCTGAGATCTTCACTAACTGGCTCTATTTCATGATTCAAGACTCAACTCAAATATCACATCATCAAAGGTGATATCCTAATTACTTAATTCCAGAAAGGTAGGTCTCTCACAGTCATTCTCTATTGCCTCATATCACTCTTTTTGTTATTCTTATACCACCTAAAAACAGAATTTATGCTGCTTTCTACTTTGTTTATTCTGCTTATTGTCACTATAACATAAGCTTCAAGAGAAGAGAATGTTTTGTACTACTATTTGTCTTTAGGGCCCAAGACAATACACATGGTCAACAAATATGACTGAGTAAGTATACTACTTTAACCAAAATTTTCTGAAACCATAGGCTTTTATCCCTGCGCTATTTTGAAGAGTATGTTCATATATATTTGTGGAAGAATAATGTTTGTAAGGTTTCATGAATAAGATTAAACTGTACTTTTCATAGCAATTAGTCACTTTGGGACATGCAACTTTATTTGGTATCAGGAGCTAAGTCTGGCATTTTCCCTATTTTATAGCTGGGAGAACTGAAGTCAGAAAGTAAAATATAAGAATTAATAAACTGGGTTGGGGTTGTAGCTTAGTGGTAGAGTGCATGTCTTGCACATGTGAGGCCCTGGGTTTGATCCTCAGCACCACATAAAAATAAATAAAATTAAAGATATTGTGTCCATATACAACTAAAAAAATATTTTAAAAAAGAATTAATAAATTTTTGATAATGGAAAAACAAAACAAAAACCCCATTAAATCAAAGAAAATCTAGAGAACAGCTTAAGTATCAAATTGCTCACAGGACCATTAACAACTTCCTAAAATTTGTTAATTGTCTATTTGCACCCAGTACTTAGCACAGTGCCTGGCACACAGGAAATACTCAAAAATATTTGTTAAATGGATCATAGGGCCCTAATTATATAATCATAGTAAAATAGATGTAAACTAGACCCTATTTCTATTTTTTTAGGGCAGCAAAGTTTTACTTTCTGCATTAGATTCAGTCTTCCTATATAGCCTTGTAAGCAAAACCTTTTTCTCCTATAGAAGAAAATTCTCAATAAGAGTTGTTTTATTTTATCTGGTTTTATATAGCATGTTCTCTTTCTAATAGACAATGATCTCAAGTAAACATATTGGAACAGCTTTTTGCCATTTTACAGAAGTATTACATATGGAACTGAAAACATTAGCACAATTATATACTATTCAGACTACACAATTTTATTTCTATTCCTGTATGTACATGAAAAATATCAAGCATCAATATCAAGATATGGAGCAAAAGCTGGGTGTGGTGGTGCATGCTTATAATCCCAGCAGCTCGGGAGGCTGAGGTAGGAAGCTTGCGAGTTCAAAGTCATCCTCAGCAATGGTAAGGTATTAAAATTAAAAAACTCAGTGAGACCCTGTCTCTAATAAAATACAAAAAAGGGCTGGGGATATGGGTAAGTGGTTGAGTGCCCCTGAGTTCAATCCCTGATGCCCTTTCCCCTGCAAAAAAAAGATGTGGAGCAAAGAAAATATTAGGCTGTCAGCTTAATAGAAATTATTCAGGTTTAAAAATCTATGCTGCACAATGTTCATTATCTATCTATATGAATTCCTTTCCAATGTTCTATGAGTTTTAAAGTCATTAAAAAAATAAAACATTTAAATCCTGCATAAATCAAGATAGTATCAACTTTGATAGGTCCAATTATATTCATCTTTTTAAGCAGTTTCAAATAAATCATATTAAAGAAATGTTGAAGTTAGTATAGTAATAACCAAGTCTTAGCACAATTTGCCATTGAAATTCAGCTCCATGTCTAGAGAAAAAAGTGACAGTAGAATACTAATGGACTTATTAAGTAAGCTGACAAGTGGTAATCATGAATAAGGTAATGAGAAAAAGATCTATGATAACAATGTTTCGAAGCTCCAATTTATTTGTTTTAAAATAAATCACCTCTAATGAGAGAAAATAAGAAGCTTTAATGTTAAAAGATTCATCTAAAATCCCAACTCATATAAAATGATATGTATTTTATTTTATTAATTTTTTTTGTAGTTGTAGATGGACAGTAATTTGTTTATTTTTATATGGTGCTGAGGATTGAACTCAGTACCTCACATATGCAAGGCAAGTGCTCTGCCACTGAGCCACAGCCCCAGTCCCTGATATGTATTTTAGATAGTACTACAGCAAAAAGGATTTCTAAATCTTCATTACTATTAATTATTAATGGAGTAAGATGTTCAGAGACAGTATTAAGGAAGTGCAACATAACAGAAATATCACAGATCCTAATTTCTATTTATTAAAATGATTTTCTTGGGCATATCATTTATTTTTCTGGGTTCTTAAGTTTCCTTATTTACAAACAAAACAAAACAAAATACTGCTACCTTCTAGAATTATACTTCATAGTGTTACTGTGAGGGATAAATGAGGATGAATATGAAAGCATCTTACAAAGTATAATTATAAACTTTATGCAAATACAAGTCATATTGTGAGGGAAAAGTTAAATTTACCTTTATATGTTCTAAAACAGCAGTAGCAACATTTGTATGAAGATCAATAAGTCTTTTTTTTTCAAGGAGTTCTGGCAGAGAACTATAAGTACCAAAAAATGGAAAATTAATGATAAAATTTTCTAAGAAAATGATATAGTCTCTAATAAAACCCATGCCTGTTTTTTCCTCGAAGGAAAATCAGAACACTGAAATAGTGACAAAATGACAAATTAAATTATCAACTGAATTTAATCTCCAGGCTAGAACACATACAGAATGTATTACTTTAATACAGCTGAAATGCCTCTCATTTAAAAATAATCTAGGTCCCAAATATCATTATTTCTACCATTTCACTCTCTGCTTCTAAAGTTTTGACTAAAATTAATGGAAACACACTTTTACCTATATTTCTAAAACATAAAATCCTCTTCCTCTTGCCGGCATTTAAAGTAATAAAAATTCCTTAACCTTCAATTAAGAAAACTGGCTACAACAGTAAAATTAACAACAATTTGCCCTACTTTCTCGTTAATACTGTTTTCTTAGTAAAATTATCCCCATCTCATATTTCTAATTGGTGAAAGAAGCAAATGTTTTGCTCTAAGTTGGAACTGAAATCAGCTTAAACATGTTAAAAGCATAATTTAGTTCTTTTAGCTTATAGGTGTATTTGCTTTTACATACTATTTCCTGTTATTAAAAATATTAATCATTTATAACCTCCCAAATAAATTTAATAACAGAAAGACACTGAAGAGGATATACTGCATACCTAACCGCTGATGTTAGCTTAGCAGTATTGTCAGAAAGCATACTTATGGCTCCTTCATCTTCCCCTTCTAGTCCCTGGGAAGGGAAAAAAAAAAAAAAAGTTTTAGTAAAACTATTCAAAATCTCCAGGCTCAAGCATAAAAATCAACACATTCCTAAGATTACTGACAAACAATAAAATTTAGGTTACCTAGGATAACTATTCTTCTCTTCTAGGATAACACAGAAACACATGTGTTTCTGACAGTCACAGAAAATTTCTAGTCACCACCAGTTTAATAAATGGTTGACTAAGTAAATTTATAGTCAGCAAGGAAGCATGTCCAGAGAAGTAAATTATGGATCAGCAAGAAAGCAAGTCTATAGAGACTTGCCAGCAATCACACAGTACACACAGTATAAAGAGTGTAGCTGAAATTTGAAGCTGGATTGAAGTATGGTAGATTGAGGAATACTGAAAGATATGTCTCTAAAGTCACATTATATATTTTTTTCATATCATAACTTCATATTATTCTTTAAACAACTAGCACTCTACCAACTGAGCTATATCCCCAGCTCCTTTTTAAACAAATTTTGATCTCAATATTAGGTTTCTTTTGAAAAAGACTGCTTAAATAAATTGAAAATAATTTCCTGTTATTAAAGCAATAAATTGCCTTGAATTTTAGAGAAAAAAAAAAAAGCAAACCTCTCTATCCTTTTAGATGCCCTTCCTCTTCCCTATAATACTTAGAAAGCAAAGAAGATCTTACCATAATGCTTTTAAGACGTTTGACCTCATCTTCTTGTGCTCTATAATATTCTAGTTCTTGCTGAACGGATTCTGCAACTTCTGGGAATGGACTAAAACAATATGCACAAGAGAAACTATGACACTGAAAGAATGATTTTTGTGTGGATTCTGAAATATATACAATGAATATTTATTATTATTTTAAATGGATTCATATGTATTTGAATATATTTTATATATAACATGGGCAGAGAATGTTCAACACAAATAAAACTATATATGTAATCTTTATGATAAATGGGGCACTTAGGTGCATAACCTATAATCTCAGGGACTTGAGAGACTGAGCAGGATGATAGAAAATTTAGAGGTCAGCCTGGGAGACTTAGAAACAAACCCTGCCTTAGAATAAAGAAAAACACAAAACAAAGAAGGGCTGGGGAATGTAAGTAGTTCAGTGGTATAACACCACCGTAGAAAACCTTGTACTATAAAATGTATATCATAATACTTATAAATCTAAACAAATATAAAATTTACTTCTATTCTTTTCAATAGTGAGATTGCATTTTCCCTTCACCTATACACTATTAGAACAAAAATAAACGCCTTTGTAACTCAGTACTTTTAATATCCTTATTGGTAAAAAAATAGTACTTGAATTATAGTTTTGGTGGACCTAAAGCCTGTTATTGTCCTCCAGGGAAGTGCTGTTCAGCAATAATTTACATAGACTTCAAAACATATGTTGAGGATAAAATGATTCTTCAAATGAGTATTTTTCATCTATAGCTTTAAGGAAGGCAAGAGCCTTTTCTCCTTTAAGAAAAGGTTATATCTTATTAGCAATGAAATAAAAACCTTGCCTCCCTTCCTTAACCCTGACAACTGAAATATCTCACTAATGATCAGCACATTTCGTCCAATGGAGACTGGCAGAAAAGATGAGTCTGGAAAAGATTCAGAACATAGTCCAATTTTACCTGACAACCATAGGCACTTACCCAGCTCCAGTGGTCTTTGTTGGCAAAAAACAGCATTAAGGCCTTAGCCCTCTAGTGTAGAGTCAGAAGTTTTTGATCTAATTATAATGAAAACTACTTTTAGGAAAGCTCTTACCCTTTCTCATTTGTAAAATGTACTGGGTGAAATCCATGATCCTCAAAATCTCTCATATTTTCAGATCTCAGAGATAATGAAGAATAGTAACTGCTTACATTTATTGAGTGCTTACTGTGTATCAAATGCTATGTCAAGTACTTATCTCTGTTATTTTATTTAATCATAACCAGTTTATGGGTGGTTATCATTAATAGTTAAGACGAGGCACTTTGGGATCTGTCAGAACTGAGTTCTACCCTAGACTTTACCACTTTCTTTATATTCATTATCTCAATCTTCTTAAAAATCTTCTGAGATATTGGAGCAAAAGGTAGAATTATCATCTTTCTATTTTACTGATAAGAAAATGAAGCTCAGAGAGGTTAAGTCATATATTTAACTCTATGCCATCTCCCAGTGTCTTTGCGTTCACATTTTTATTGCAGTACAATTTTCAGGGCAAAAGGGCTATTGTTACTTGAAAACAAAGTTCCTACTATTCAAATCATCTTTTAATTTGTTCCTAAACATATCATGTAAAAAATACTCAAAATCTCCCTATTTGAATTAAGGGATCTTTTCTCTTAAGCTCTTCTCTATTAGGAAATGTCAACTTCAAAATATTTTGTATCCTCCACAAAAAAATGCCTCTCTAATGAAATGCAATGTTTTGTATTTTAGCATTCTTGAAGGAATATAAACTATGAAATTTCAAAGGAAAGAAATTATTTAAAGTAAAACACCTAAAACTACCATAGCCAGAAAGACAATTTCTTTTCTCTGAAGATTTCTATTATAGCAATATGATTTTCCAGTTGTGTTTTTTTTTGTTTTTTGGATACTAGGAATTGAACCTAGGGGTGCTTAACCTCTGAGCCACATCCCCAGGCTTTCTTTTTTTTAGGTTTTAATTTTAATTTTTTTTTTTGGTACTGGGGATTAAACTCATGGGCACTTGACCACTGAGCCACATCCTCAGCCCTATTTTGTATTTTATTTAGAGACAGGGTCTTGATTAGGTGCTTAGTGTCTTGCTTTTGAGGCTGGCTTTGAACTCATGATCTTCCTGCCTCAGCCTCCCAATCTGCTGGGATTACAGGTGTGTGCCACCACACCAAACTTGTAGTTGTTTTTTACAAAGCTGTAAATATTTAAACACACACACACACACACACACACACACAGCCACTGCATGTTGAACCACATCTATATCTCTTCAAATGTAAATATAAAACAAGGCCCAAAAGAATAGCTATATTGAGGCTGTAGATAGATCTATATTTACATAGATAAATTAAAAACTAAAAATAATAAATAATATATTTACATAACTGTTGACAAATAGCATTCTTCTATTAATCTGAGGAATGTTCAAAATTATATGGGATAAGCTTAGTGAAAAGAGAAGTAGTCCCTACAAAACAACAGCTAACAAAAAACAGGAATGGGGAAAAATCAAGGATATTAATTATAGCTTCTGCTCATTACGTGAATGAACCACTATGACCCTTTGGATATTTTTCTCAAATTCAATTGGCTAGATGACATCTTAATTTCTCTTTAAGTGGTAAATCTTTTACTTATTGATATTTCTCTTATTTACCTTCCTTTATGTTTCTGCCAAAATTTATCAACTGGAGTTAAATCATAAGATTTCTTGTTTTTTCTCTTTGGTCTAGCACCAGCTGGAGAGTTTTCCACTCCTGTAGATTCTTCCAAATTCACTCTGTTTAAGTGGAAATCCTAGGGAAAAGTAATACAGTTTTAAATAACTATTTTCTGAGTTTAATAGCCATAACATTTCCCACAACAAGGAAAATAAAACATAGATTTTTGCTGCCCTTGCTAATATTTACAAGGATAAAATACAGATCTAAAATTTAAAAGACATCCTTCCAAACTTTTGTTATATTCAAATGCACTTTTCATTACGAATTTTAATGGAAGTAGTAGATGCATGTGATTAAAATTTCAAATATAAAGAGAAAAATCATGTTAAGGTCTATGTATCCTTCTAAAAATATTTATGCATTTGGATAGCTCTTAGGTTTACTTTAAAATGGGATTATAACATACATATATAATTTGCCCCTTTTTTCCCATTTAATATATTTTAGAGCTCTGTAGGTATAGCTATTTTATCTTTACCATGGCTACACAAATTAGTCCAATGATTGGCTCTATCAATTTACTTGAACAGGCCTCTTGATGCTTGGTTGTTTCCAGTAAAAAACCTTCTTAATAATAATTTTAAAACTCTTGTAGAATCTTAGTATTCTGATGTTTCTTGACTGATTAAATTTAAAAATTAAGGTAGAATCTATAATAATAATAATAAAATAATAGCATTCCGGGCTGGGGTTGTGGCTTAGCAGTAGCAGTAGAGCACTCGCCTAGCATATGCAAGGCCCTGGGTTCGATCCTCAGCACCACATAAAAATAAATAAATAAATAAGGTATTATGTCCAATTCAACTAAAAAAATATAAATATTAAAATAATAATAATAATAGCATTCCCTTTCACATATATTCTAACAGCCAGTCAGACCAGTAGTTGTTAAGGTTTTCTGCTTGGGACTAATTTCACTTAATGTGTGGCTTGATTTTTCCCCCCTTTCTCAAAAAACAAACATAAAATAGACAAAAATAAAAGTAATTATATTCTTTATTCCTTCATCCCCTTCTTCATTCCCTTCCTGCAGTATTTTATGGGTCAACTCTGTTCAAGAATGTGAGTTAATGAGATAAAACATGGCTATAAACAAGTGAGTAAAAGAATAATATGCAATAAAGAAACTATGTGGAGAAATGTGATATAATTATCTTAGTTCTAAGGTATTATATATATTAATGATTATTCTAAGTCTTGGCAACTTAAATATATTGAACACAATTTAATCTCCTCTAATAAAATAAGGTTCAATACTGACTCTAGATACTTTTGAGTATACTCTGAAAGTTTCTCAAATCTTTTACAACAGCTTATTTCCTCTAAGCTTTCCCCTTTGACATAAAAAAGAATGAAATATGTAGATGTCTAACTGCCACAGTGAAGTAACACATCTATTTTCTATCAAATAAATTATAAGAACAATGAGGCAGCCTTTGCATATATGTGTGAAATCCATTAAAGAGAAAAATCTCTAAAGATTAGGTACCTTTTATGTGCAAGGCACTATTCTCAGCACTTTGTATAAGTTATCTGATCCTCACAATAACCCTCAGAAAGAATAAAATTTCCATTTCAAAAATGAAAAAAAAAAAAAAAACCTAAAGCACAGAGGAAGAAATTTATTTCCCAGGTTATGCAGAAATATGTGGGAAAAACAAGATTAAAACCTAGGTAGAGTGATTTTAGAGGGCTGCTTTATTAGAAATCCTTGCAGGGTAGAATCTGGGTAGCCTTAGGTGGTATAAATTGGCTTTTAAAGACTATAGAGAGTTGCAAAAAATGGCTGGGATGACAAAAAAAGAGTATATCATGTTATATTTCAACCTGTTATTATTGTCTTTCCTATAGATTTTTCATGTTATCACAGGTCAAGAACATCAGTGATCTTTTAAAATTCCTCTCAGTTTCCTATCCCTCTGTCCAATCTTTAATTTGCCCAGCAAATTAACCAATACAGGAAGAAAGTAAAAATAGCACAACTGTGGGAAAACACTTTAAACAATATGAAAAATAAATAGATATTATAGTACATCTACAAAGAAGCCCAGCTTTTAAAAAAATATGTAAGGAAACAAAAGATACAAAAGGGAAACATCTTTAAACGGTTAAGCTATACTAAGAATTTCTAGTAGGAAATTGAAGTACAATTTCCATGGTGATGACACAGTTCATTCAACATAGAAGTAACTAGTTAATAAAATTATTGCTCTAAAAATAGGAGAGCATATTATTACATAAGTATTGACCGAATACTTAAAACACAAAATAATGAAGAAATAAAAGATGTTAAGAGTTCTAAGAAATAACATAATAGCAAGAACATTTCCACTGTTTGCATAATAGCAAGGCAAAAAAGGAAAAGTAATTTCCAATTTCAAAATTGGGAAACTAGTACATCCTGTGCTGTACTCAATCACGTTAACACAACTGAACATTTATGCACAAATAAGATAGCAGAATCGGTTGGAATGGAAGAATCTAATCTGTTCCTTCTGATAGCAACATCTTCCCGACTTAAAAGACTGAACAATATTGCCTAAAATCCTAGATAAAAATAAATTCCATCAGAGCTAGGTATGGTGGCAAATGCCTGTAATCCCAGCAGCTTGGTAGGCTGAAGTTTAAGAGAATCGCAAGGTCAACGCCAGCCTCAACAATTTAGTGAGGCCCTAAGCAACTCAGTGAGATCCTGTCTTTAAATAAAATATAAAAAAGGGTTGGGGATATGGCTCAGTGCCCTTAGGTTCAATGCCAGATATATATTTAAAAAAAAAAAAAAAAGAGGAAAAAAATCCCACCAGGAAATGCTAAAAATATCTAGAAGTCTTTAACAGTCTTGTTTCTTTTCACGAGTTAAAGCAGATATAGGTAGAGCAACAGATGGCTAATGTTTGGATACCAGAGGTGACACCTATTAATGCAGAGCTGAGATTTATTACACATGTGAAAAAATGCAAAGTAAAATACAAATTTTTATTTTGGCAAGAATTTACTACCCCTTAAACTCCAAAAACTATTATAGCCATGAATAAATAGCTAAGTAATTCAACAGATGCAGTTTGGAGCCATAAATCAAATATCAGCGATTAACATTTTTAACATTCAGGTGACATCAGCACGTATCAAGGAGACCCTTTAACTTGAACTATCAAAATAAGCAATGAGAGAAAAATAAAACACAGTTCAGGGGAAAACATAAAACCAGGAAAGGAAACCACAAAGCAGCTGTACCATCTCCTAAGGCTCTGGCTCCTAACTTACTCTAAGCAAGGAAATGCATCTTCAATCATTTGAAGATGAGTACTTATGTTATCTTGTCCCTGCACATTAACCTCAGGAGAACTCCAAAAAGGAATGTGACTTTCTGGAGAAAATTTTTGCCTTAAGAGTCAGTTTGGAGACTAGGGATAACATCAGTATGAGAAGAGATGATAAAGAAAAAGTGTGATGACTTATGTACATTTTCTCCAGAAGAGGTAAATACTTTCCCTTCTAAATCAGTTATTTCCTTCAGACTTGAGATATGAGAGCTAAACAGAAACTAGGAGTTTCATTGCCTCTTGTCAAAGGCAATTAAAAAACAAGACATGATTCAATAGATTAATACATCAGGGTTTCAATCTAAAGGCACTGCATGTTAACTATTTTAAATGTTTTCTTTTGTGTGTGTGTGTATGCACACGTGCATGTGAGAAGGAGAGACAGAGAGACAGAAATTAAAGCATTATGTGAAAAATTAATGTTTCAAAGCTCTTCACTAAAGCTAATAACCATGAAGGGAAATTTTAGTTCCTAAGCAAAAAGTAATCTAAATTTATTTCTACTGTCCCTGAATGCTTCAGAACCAGTTCTGGGTCAATAGTAGTGATTATGCCTTAAAAAACCTAATTTAGAGGAAGTTCTTAGAAACTGAAATTCTATTTCTTACTGAGAAAGCAATTAGATACAACTATTAAGCAATCTCCTACTTCAGTGAGCATGGATAACTACTGCGCTCAATGAGAAGAGTCCAGAAGCTTTGAGAACCAAAGTTACACATTATTCGCCATCTATCACTCCACAACAGATACATTCATTTTAAATACAGTGGGCTTCCAGCTAAAATTGTATAAATCTGTAATTCTACTAACACTGTTCTCGAGAGACTGAAGAAACAACATTCTTGATGACGAGGCATGAGCTTTAAATTGTATAGTTTCTGATTTACATAACAGTTATGTTTTCTTTGGCTCATACAAATCAGTCTGTCAAATAAAACTCAAGTAAAACAAGATTAAAATATACTCATTAAGATAAAACAGGATGAGTTCTACACTGATGCTTTTAAACTGTGTACAAGAATCAATGGTCATTACTGTATTTTTATAACTTTACTATAATAAAGTTATAACAAAATGGGTTCCTTCCTAAAGAATGGGAAAGGGGCTGGGATTGTGGCTCAGCAGTAGAGTGCTCGCCTAGCATGCACAGGGGCCCTGGGTTCAATCTTCAGCACCACATAAAAATAAATGAATGGAATAAAGGTATTGTGTCCAACTACAACTAAAAAAATAAATATTAAAAAAAAAAAAAAAGAATGGGAAAGACCATAAAGTACTATTTTTCTCACCACTGAAAACGCCTAAAGCAAAGACATTCCAGTACAGATTAACAATCCTAGTAATCCAGATTGTTATTTAAACCCTATTTGCCATTTAAAGGAACCAGGGCTTTTGGGGAAATGGCCGAGTCCAAGTCTGCAGAGAAAATGAAAGTGATGAGTCAGAAAATTTTTAACACCTGAACAAGTAAGCAAACAAAGACTAAAGGGCCATGCCAAGAGGACACTGAGGCCAGGATGAGCCAAAGATGAGACAATTTATATATCAAAATGAATGACTACAATAGTTAGATATATATTTCAGATATAAAAATTCCCTAGTTCATAAAATAATATTAAAAAAAAATCAATCACCTTACTGACTGCTTTTAAAGACTGTTAGGGTATTAACTCCTTCTAAAAGTTAACAAATAACAAATCAAGCATTCTTTCTGTAATCCCAGCAACTTGGGAGGCTGAAGAATGAAGAT